AATATTCAATCATACACAGGTGAGCACAATAATTCACGTTTTATTAATTCATTATCTATTTAATAATTTCCAAATATGTATAATTTTATTTACAAGTTTATTCGCTTATGTTGTTGTTTCAGTTTTAATAATTAATTTTATTAATTCATAATGAATTTGCTTGCATCGTTCGTGTAGCTCTATATTTTATTTTTAATTTTAAAAATTAAAACTTTTAAAAAATGTCCTCCTCATTGCAGAAAAGTTGGTCACCTTACCAGGGGTGGGTTCTAAATTTTTTTACTACCGGTTCTGTGGCTTATTTTGTGGGTGTGGCTTAGAGGTCATGTGACTAGGTGGGCGTGGCTAGCTGGTTAGAGTCATTTCTGGAAGGTCGTTGCACTTATGACCAGTCCTCGCACTTACGACCCGACTCATTTGTTTGCTTTTAACACTGATCAGCTGTAGGATGGCCCTTTGAAGCCCCGCGGCAAGAGTTTAAACAGTTTTTTTCCCTCTAGTCATCAGCTGGGACTCAGGAGGCAGCAATAGATTGGGGGTGGGACCAAAAAAAGGTAAGAATAACGTGGGGGGGGGTGGGGGAGTGGGAGGGCAGGGGTGGAGAACCGGTTCGGTGACGTTATATTGTCACCGCTACCGGCTCGGCCGAACTGGACCGAACCAGGAGGAACCCACCACTGCACCTTATCAATAGTCCATCTTGCCTGGGGTCAGAAGCTAAGCAGCCTTGCAGTGTCCCAAAGGTTTTTTTTTTTTTTTCAAGAGGCAACTGGACTTTCTGGTTTTTCTTTGAAGATGTTTCACTTCTCAACCAAGAAGCTTCTTCAGCTCTGACTGGATTGGTGGGGAATGGAAGGATTTATACTCCTTGCAGATAGCTGGTCATCTGCATCCTTTTAGCGGGTCGTTAAGATCACCTGAAGCTGAAGAAGCTTCTTGGATGAGAAGAGAAACATCTTCAAAGAAAAACCAGAAAGTTCAGTTGCCTCTTGAAAAAAAAAAATCACCCTTGGGACAACCGTGAGCTGAATGACTGTGAATCTCTACAGACAGTGGTTAGAATTTGGAGGGGAGATTTCCAGGGAATCCCAGGGCGGTGGTTAAATATAAAGAGCATCCTAAAAGAAGGCAAAGACGAATCCCCTTTTTGTGTTACTGCGGAAAAAAAGCTACAAAGATGTGACCATGATGTCACCATCAGCCAAGCTCTCCTTGTTTCTCTAATGTACATCTTAACAACTGAACTGTTCTCTGACTCAGAGTAAATTCCAATTTGGGGGAAATCTCTGACGTCTTTTTCATCCAGTCACAAAAACAGGAGGGAGTCGATGTCTGTACTTGAGCATCTTCTCTGTCCGATGCCGGTCATATCGCTATGGCACTAACTAGGAATCCCGGATAGGATTTACTGCAAAGCCCCTTTGAAGCATCGCAGGGTGGGTGTTGGGGCCCCCAGTGTAAGTGCTGATCGACTGGCACCTACAGTGAACACAGCAGCAGCCCCGGCATTCGCATTATGAATCTCACACCTACGTAGAGTGTGATGAACGTGCAAGAATCAGGGCTGGGGAGTGGCGGTTATGGAACAATTTCTACCTGGGCAAGACAGCAGATGCTTGTTCAGCTGCCTTGTTTGCTTGTAACCCATTTCTTACCAGTTTTCCTCCTCCTCGGAAGAGAAAATAAGGGCTAAGATTCCATCTGTTTATGCCTGTGCCCTTTATTCAATACAGAATAGAATAGAATAGAATAGAATAGAATAGAATAGAATAGAATAGCAGAGTTGGAAGGGACTTTGGAGGTCTTCTAGTCCAACCCCCTGCTTAGGCAGGAAACCTTATTCCAGGGGTGTCAAACTCGTGTCATCATGTGACGTATTGCTACGTATTTCCCCTTTGCTAAAGCGGGGGTGGGCGTGGCCAGTGGGTGATGCATCCGGCCTGCAGGCTTCAAGTTTGACACCCCTGCCCTATATCATTTCAGACAAATAGTTATCCAATCTCTTCTTAAAAACTCCCAGTGTTGGAGCACCCACAACTTCTGGTGGCAAGTTGTTCCACTGATTAATTGTTCTAACTGTCAGGAGATTTCTCCTTAGTTCTAGGTTGGTTCTCTTCTTGATTAGCTTTCATCCATTGCTTCTTGTTCTACCCTCAGGTGCTTTGGAGAATAGCTTGACTCCCTCTTCTTTGTGGCAGCCCCTGAGATATTGGAACACTGCTATCATGTCACCCCAGTCCTTCTTTCCGTTAAACTAGACATACTCAGTTTCTGCAACCGTTCTTCATACGTTTTATCCTCCAGTCTCCTAATCATCTTTGTTGCAAATGGGAATATGGGAATGGGAAGGATGAAGGAAGAAAAACATTGCCTGTATATGAGTCTATGGAGATTCTCAGTCATCCAGGTCATGGTTATCCCAAAGGTGCTTTTTTTGACCAGCAGTCTGCAAGAAATATAAATCCTTCCATTCCCTACCATCCAGCCAGAGCTGAAGAAGCTTCTTAGATGAGAAGCGAAATGTCTTCAAAGAAAAAACAAGGAAGTCCAGTTGCCTCCTGAAAAAAGCACCTTTGGGATTGCCACGTTGGCGCAATGGTTGGAGTGCAGTACTGCAGGCTACTTCTACTGACTGCCGGCTGACTGCAATTTGGCAGTTCAAATCTCACCAGGCTCAAGGTTTATTTATTTATTTATTTATTTGTTTAAATTTCTATCCCGCCCTTCTCCAAATAGGACTCCAAATAGGACTCAGGTTGACTCAGCCTTCCATCCTTCTGAGGTGGGTAAAATGAGGACCCAGATTGCTGGGGGCAATAGGCTGACTCTGTAAACCGCTTAGAGGGGGCTGTAAAGCACTGTAAAAGCGGTATATAAATCTAAGTGCTACTGCTATTGCCTGTGTATCTTCCTCTGTGCCCAGAGACAATTCAGAGTACCGCCCTTGACTTCGTATCAGTTTTTTGTTTAAAAATTTGCCCTTTACTGCCTCTAATCCTGCTTAATGGAATATTTCTTTGTATGCTTTTCCAGGGACATGCAGCTGTCCTAGCCTCACTCACACATGGGCAGGCAATGCAAGAATATCTGAATTGGAGAAATGTGTCAGCAATCTACCTAGTTCTGGGAATTTCCAGACTTCCCAATTGAACCTTCTGCTCTGTGTCCCAAAGGCGCCCTTTCAAAAATCAACTGGACTTTCTTTGTTTTTCGTTGGAGACGTTTTGCTTCTCATGCAAGAAGCTTCTTCAGTTCTGAAGGTAGATCTGGAAGAACTGAAGAAACTTCTTGGATGAGAAGGGAAACATCTTCAAGGGAAAACAAAGAAAGTCCAGTTGCCTTTTGAAAAAGGACCTTTGGAACGACTATGACCTGGATGACTGAGAATTTCCATGGAATTCTATCCTGTGATTTTCTGGTGGTCTATTGTCCAAGTTTGGCAATGCGTCAGTATTGGTTAGATCAGTGTTTCTCAACCTTGGTAGCTTGATGATGGGTGGACTTCAACTCCCAGAATTCTGGGAGTTGAAGTCCACCCATCTTCAAGCTTCCAAGGTTGAGAAACACTGGGTTAGATGTTTATTACATTACATTGTTATGTAAGCAGTCCTCAAATTAGAACCACAATTGGCATCAGAATTTTCATTGCTGAGCAAGATGGTTGTTAAGGGAGTTACGCTGGATTTTACAACTTTTTTGCTATGGTTGCTAAGCAAATCACCTCAGTTGTTAAGTGAATTGCATCATTGTTAAACAAACTCGGCTTCCCTTGTGGATTTTGCTTGTCAGAAGCATGCTGGGAAGGTCACATATAGTGATCACATGAACCCCGCCCCCCAGAATGATGCAACTGTACTACGGACATGTTGGTTGCCAAGCACTTGAATTTTGATGGGGATGCTACTATGGTCATAAGAGCAAGGACTAGTCTAGTGCTAAGTCACTTTTTTTTTGTGCCATTGTAACTTTGGCCACTAAATGGTTGTAAGGATTACCTAATGGCACAAGGGAGAAGACATTCAATAGTAATCCCCCCCACCTTTTTTAACAATGAAACAGTATTTTCAGGTAGTTTAAGAGATTGGAGGCTCATAGAAGGGAAATAGGAGGAAAATTCAACGTTACAAAGGGGTTATTGAATTATTCAGTATTCCAATATTCTGTTGTTCATTACCTTCCCCTTCCCCTTCTTCATTTCCCTTCCTTTCCGTCCTCTCTCTCCCTCTTCCTCTCCTTATCTCTGATAATGACCTATTACCTTCTAATGCATGAAGTCATCAAGGCATTAGAATCCCCCCTCCCTGTTTCTACCTACCCTTCCTCTTCCCCATCCTTTCCCTCCCCAGCCCACTCCATTTTTTCCTTCCCCTTCTTCATCTCCCACCCTTCCTTCCCTTCCTTCTTTCCTCTCCTCCCTCTCCCTCCTTCCCTTCCCTTCCCTTCCCTTCTCTTCCCTTCCCTCCCCTTTCTCTTTTACCTTTCCTTCTCTTCTTCCCATCCATACTCCTTCCCCTCCATGTCCCTTTGCCCCTGATCCAGGGGTTGGATTCTACCGGTTCAGACCAGTTCGGGCAAACCGGTAGCTCTGACAATCAGCTGTGAGCAAACTGCTTCACTCTGACAATCAGCTAGACTCACCCATCCGCCCTTGCACTTTACTTACCTTTATCTTCGCAGCTGATTAGCGTGGCAGAGCGGATTGTTGCCCTCAGCTGTTTTAATTCCCCAGCACTAATGCGGAAGGTGATTTTTCACTGAACTGCGCACACACAATCACTGAACCAGTTGTTAAACCGGAAGGTTCCCACCACTGCCCTGATCTTAATCCGGACTCTCAACTTCAACCTCCCTCTCAGCTTGTCCCTCAGCCTCAGCCTTTCACCCTCATCCCCGCCCTAAGCCTAACCCAAACTCTCACCCTCACTTACCCCTCTAAGAGTTGGCTACTAAAAGAGGGAAGCTTCCCCAGAGTCAAAGAGCCCCACTGAAGACCAACTCACCTCTGAGAAGGCATCTTCACTCTGATAACTGATAACCGACAGTAACTGACACTTTAGCCTGCATGGATGAAGTCATAAAACCACTAGAATCCCCAAGGAGATGACCAGCCTCCCTTATCCTCCTATCAAAGGTCACCTGCTCATCCACCTTTGTGACCTACATCCATGCCACACAATGTCTCTAGGAAGCTACCAAACCAATCACTAAAGCTGTCATTTTTTTGCATGGAAGCCATACTCTTTGGATGTGGCTTGTCTCTTGTTATAGAAGCTCCACTAAGCACTTCAGCACTGCTGAGCAGTTTAATATATTTGAGGGGCTGCCACAAAGAAGAGGGAGTCAAGCTATTCTCCAAAGCACCTGAAGGCAGACAAGAAGCAACGGGTGGAAACTGAACAAAGAGAGGCTTTGGGGTGGAGTTCCATCAGTACGCTGATGACACTCAGCTGTACATCTCCACCCCAGGCCATCCCAACGATGCCCTTGAAGTGATGTCCCGGTGCCTGGAGGCCGTGCGAATCTGGATGGGGAGTAACAGGCTTCGACTCAACCCTTCCAAGACCGAGTGGCTGTGGCTTCCGGTGTCTCAATATAGCCAGCTGGTGCCATCGCTGGCTATTGGGGGCGAGTTATTGGCCCCCACGGATAGGGCTCGCAACTTGGCCGTCCTCCTGGATGCACGGCTGTCTTTAGAAGAGCATATGACAGCCGTGGCCAGTGGGGCTTTTTATCAGGTCCGCTTGATTCGCCAGTTGCGTCCCTTTCTGGATCGGGACTCCTTACGCACAGTCACTCAGGCACTCGTCACTTCCCGCCTGGACTACTGCAATGCTCTCTACATGGGGCTCCCCTTGAGGAGCACCCGGAGGCTCCAACTGGTGCAGAATGCAGCCGCGCAGAGGGGGCGCTCCCATGTGACACTTCTCCTGCGTGAGCTGCATTGGCTTCCAGTTGTCTTCCGGGTGCGCTTCAAGGTGTTGGTTACCACCTTTAAAGCGCTCCATAGCATAGGACCTGGGTATTTGCAGGACCGCCTTCTGCCGCCGATAGCCTCCCACCGACCAGTACACGCCCACAGAGAGGGACTCCTCAGGGTGCCGTCAGCCAGGCAATGTCGGCTGGCGACTCCCAGGGGGAGGGCCTTCTCTGTGGCAGCTCCTGCCCTCTGAAACGATTTGCCCCCGGAGATACGAAGGATATCGGATCTCTGGGTCTTTCGCCGTACCCTGAAAACTTTTCTTTTCCATCAAGCAGGGCTGGCGTGAACCCCCTCCCCCTTTTTTAGTCTTTTTTAGTTTTTTAGTTTTAAATTGTCATTGGGTTTTAATTGAATTGTTTTAAATTGGGCCAGTTATGTAATTCTTTTAACAATTTTAAATTTTGTATTGGCATGTGTTTTAGTTCTGGCTGTTCACCGCTCTGAGTCCACTAGGAGAAGGGCGGTATTGAAACAAACAAACAAATAAATATATTATTTATTTATTTATTTATTGGTTCGATTTATATGCCGCCCTTTTCCGGAGACTCAGGGCAGCTTACAATGCATTAAGCAATAGCCTTCATACTTTTGTATATACCTGCTTAGTAGGGCTTTTGCCCCCCAAAACACTCAAGCGGTGTTCTTTTTTATACAAAGTCAGTTTATTGCCCCCAATCCAGGTCCTCATTTTACCTGCCTCGGAAGGATGGAAGGCTGAGTCAACCTTGAGCCTGGTGAGATTTGAACTTGCAGTAATTGCAGGCAGCTGGTGTTACTTAACAGTGCTTTAGTCTGCTGCGCCACCAAGGCTCATTGTGAAGATAAAACTTGAGTAATAAGGTCCATGAGCCTCCTTGACCAAACGTGCCCAACTTTTAGCCTCTGTGTTAAGTTGAGTGTTGGCTGAAAAAAAATATACGCAAAGTAATTCCCTGTGGACTGAACTGGGAGCTGATGTGAAAAGGACTCTCTAAGTGGGACTTAGGGCCTCTCTATCACTGAATCCTAGACTTGTAGAGTTGGAGGGGGCCACAAGATCATGTAGTCTAGCCAGGGGTGAAATCCAGGAGGTTCTAACAGATTCTGGAGAACCGGTAGCGGAAATTTTGAGTAGTTCGGAGAACCGGCAAATACCGCCTTTGGCTGGCCCCAGAGTGGGGTGGGAATGGAGATTTTGCAATATCCTTCCTCCAGGAGTGGGGAGGGAATGGGGATTTTGCAGTATCCTTCCTCTGCCATGCCCACCAAGCCACGCCCACAGAACCGGTAGTAAAAAAATTTGGATTTCACCACTGAGTCCAGCCCTCTACCAGGTGCAATAAAACCAATTTAAGTAGTTTTCCTAAGCGGGCCCCTTGGTTCCTAAACAGTAGTGATGATGATGATGATGATATCCAGTTGTGTCCAATTCTTGGCAATTCTATGGGCCAGGTTTCTCCACATCTTCTAATCTTGAATTGCTTCTTTTGAGTTTTTCTATGCTCTGGCTGGTGTCAGCTTTGAGGATGTCCAGCCACTCTGTTCTTTGGTGGCCTGGTTTCCTTTGACTGCTAATTCTTCCAGACATAATTGCTTTTTCCAGTGAGTTCCCCCACACGACAGGGCCAAAGTGAGAGAGATGCAGTTTTGCAATTTTTGCCTTCCGGTGACATGTCTGGTGTTATGCGTTTCAATACTTGCTTGTTACTCACCTTTGCTGTCCCAGGAATACGCAGGAGACTTCTCCAACCGATCATACATGCATCAGTTTTCATTTAAGGAATAGAAACTCATCAGGAGAGGCTCTGGTGGGTTAAGTCGTTGCTAAAAACTTACACAAGACAATTGTGCAATTAGGTGACATTTCCCCATCATTCTCCTCCTCCTTCCTTCGCAACTTGTTCCTGATCATCAAACTTCATTGTCTATGACCTCATCCGCTGACCAGAATTTAAAAATAGAAAGGAAAAAAAAAAATACCCAGCTAAAAATAGTGTCCAACCAACTTGGCAGCAGAGCTGTGTTTGAAAGAGGGTGGAAAGTGGGGGGGCGGAAGCAGCGAAGAGGAATCTCCTTTCAATTGAAATATTTTTGGAAGAGTTTTTTTTTTCCCATGGATCTTGTTAGGAAGGAAATCTATTTGCCTGTGGGATTTTTTTTTACTTCCTTTTCTTCCTCAAAGCTTCTTATTTTCTCATTGTTCTTTCCTTCCTTTGATAGCCCAAATGCCCAGGATAAAAAAAAATTATGGCTTTCTGTGTTTTGCCTTTAATTTCTTTTAATCCACTAACAGCAGTGCTTCTTTCTCGGTACAGTAGTTGTGCTGAAGACTTTGATTAAGGTTGTTTCTCTCTAACTGGATTTTTTTTTCTTGAGCCTAGATTGCTGGGGCCAGCAACCAAGAAGGAGAAATGTTGCTCCCCCACTTATGGCCTGAACCAGCAAGCAAACTACATTTCGAAAATGTTAATTCCAGAGAGTGATGCACATATGGCTTGCTGTAGTTTACTACCGGGGGTGGGCAGATTTTAGGCTTATGAGATCTTTTCTGCTAAAACCTAGAGATCCACCACCCAGGATTTGGTGCAAAAGGCAGGAATGTAACATTTTTAAAATGCTGAATCCACAGATTTGCTTCAAATACAAATACCATGTTTCCCCGAAAATAAGACCCTGTCTTATATTTTTTTGAACCCTGAAATAAGCGCTTGGCCTTATTGCCATGCACTCAAAAGCCCGATTGAGCTTATTATCAGGGGATGTCTTATTTTGGCGGGAAACAGGGTAGGTATTGATGTTCTTCATTAAAAAACCGTCTTCTCGCTAAACTCTCTCTCTTTTTCTTTATTTTTTCACCAAAAAGGGAGGAAAGAGGCAGTTCTCATTGTTATCATTAAAGAATAGTGTTGTAGGAAGTTAGCACCCAGCCCTTCCCTAGGAAAATGAGATATTTTAGGAAATATTAAAAGGGCAGAATATTTCTCCTAAAAGGGAGGTAGAAACTCACCCCCTCCCCCCCACCTTTGTCAATTGGCCATTAAGGCCTGGGCCAGTTTATTCTACATAACAAAGATCTACTTCCTTCAGGCAGAGCCATAATAGGAATTGCCCAAAATCCCTTCATTACATCATCACCCAGCAAGGCTCAACCAAGCCTGGGACATAGACAACCTATAAAATTACCTCTGCATGGCCCCATGGGAGTCTGACAACAAATCAGAATACAAGATCAAATTCAAAAGCCCAGAGAGGGCATAAAACCCAGGCACTCTCGGCATCTCTTCCCTTTTTCTGCCCAGGACCTCAAACCATGTGGTTTTAATGTCCACCATTCAAAACCATCTTTCCAAACAGCCACCATGTTTCAAGTGTCTTTCTCCACACTTGGAACTGAACCCAGAAGGAAATTTCTTCCAATAGTGTCAAAAATTCTTGTAAGAACAGTAAGTTTCTCAGAGTTCTGTCAGTAGATCTTGATTTTTGTTCTGCCATTCCCTGCCTTGTAAGCTGCCTTGCATCATTTTCATATCTGCATAAAATAATTTGTGTGTGGAAGAAGAAAGGAGCAGTGGTACCAAATGCAACCGATTTAGAGGAAGAGAAGGAGGAGGAGGAGAACGTTTCAAAACTGCCCTGGGAGATATTGAAGCATGCTTCAACATTCTAGTGACAACTGTTGTGTGCATAAATATACAAAATGAATTCAAGCAAAATAACCTGAAAAAGGCTTTCCTAAAAATATTTCAGGCAATATTTTTAATTGCCTTTCTCTCCCAGACTTATCAACACAAGCACAACATACAAATCCAAAGCTAAAAAAATTCCAATATATTTCTTAACCCTGAGATTTCTTTGTGGTCTCCTGTCCAAATACTAACCTGGTGTCAGGTTTGATTAGTATTTGGACAGGAGACCATTAGGAAATCTCAGGGTTAAGAAGGAGGTTGCTAAAACCTACCTTGAAAGACGGGGATGACAAATCACTTTTGTCCTATTGCTAGGAAAACTTGCATAGGTGGACATAAATCATTAGATTTATAATAAACATTTACTTTTATCTGCTCAGGTTTATTTGACATGCTCTATCCTGGGTACGTGAAGCAAGGCAGTAGATGTATTTATGGAACATAGCTAATCTGGTTACAATATTAATTGAGTTGCCCAATTCAATGAATCATAAGCTAACCAAATGGGATGCATTTGCACATGTGTGAGCATGCAGACACAAATACACAAACCCCTAATTTTAGCTTGCTGTTCAAATGTATTTGCTGGACATTTGTCAGACCTTTGTTAATCCTGTGTGAATATTTGCAGTGAATGTTGTGTGAATAC